TTATTTATTTTTTCCTTTTATTGGCTAAAGCAAGAAAGGATTTTAAAATTAATTAGTTTGGTTGTATATTTTTAGATTTAAGTTTTAAAAACAAGGAAGAAAATAGAGAAAACATGTTTTTATGATTTTCTTTTGAAACAGAAAATCTRAAGAACGAACCATACATGGATTGTTTGTCAGATTATGAGCATTTCAAAATTCATAAAAAAAGCTGTACTTTAAGTGTAAACACTTTTTAAAAACAAATCATTTTGTTTTATTTACAACTTTATTTGTCTCACATTATTTGTAAGGTTCTCAAAGACCATCACAGATTCACAGTGTAAGGGTCAGGATGTTTTCTGAAGTGTTTGCTGAGGTGTCGGAGGAACTAATCTCTTTTTATCTTGGTTGAATGGTCGAGCTGAATGGAGGGACAGCTTGTTTATGTGAGGAGCATTACCCAGGATGCTTTCTGCAGGGAGGCCAGCTGAGTCGGCAGCTCACACAGGGCTGAAAGCCACAGAGTTCTTCACAAATAAACTGCACACTTCAGAAAAATGTTGCTTTCAATGATTATTTATTAAATGTAAAATATCTTTAGCACAGATTAAAAATCAGACACCTCCATATATTTTAAACATCACAGGTTGAAAAAAAAAAAAAACAAAGAAAAAAATTCCTGAAACAGAATCACAATCAATTTGGAGTCTCACTTGGAGGAAAGCTACTCCACGAGGCTGGGCAGAGGGCTGAGCCAGAAACTGCACTCCTGACCCCTAAAAAGCCACATAAATACTTTACCCTTACATACTTTTTTACCCCCTAAATACCTTTAGATTCTGGAACATTACTTTCCACAGATGAGGGACAAAAACACTTGATTCACGCTTCAGTTCTAACTAAATRTTGAAGGAAACTGCCCCTTTATTTCTGACAGCTTGCCAAACTTAAAGTAAAATAACAAAAAATCCAAACTTGCCGTTCTTGCCTAGAAAAAAGTACTTTAGAACTGCTGCGTTTTCATCAAGACGTTCGCATGACAAGCACGGACGTATGCTGTAATGATCTACGGTTCCCGGTGCCAGGAACCAGCTTCTCAAATGTTGCGTCCCGGGCGTGAAAAGCTTTGCCAGCTTCAGTTACTGTCGCTGCTGAACTGGAGTGCCATCACAGAGGTCAGCTGGTGAGCGCGCTCGCTTCTCTCCTCTGCCTCAACCCTCGCCGCTGTACAAATGCCAACCAACAACAACTGACACAGATGGTGAGCAGAAACACAGGACAGGCTATGGAAGAGAACCACCCACAGGAGGAAGAAAACAGGAAGACTCTACACACACTGTCCAAGAGAGGATATTGCCTGATAATATTATCAACTTATTTTCACAACTTTTATTTGAATCTTTTCTATTTTTTTCTACTTTTTTTTCTGTTTTTGTTTTTTTTATGTTTCAACACATGCCATATGAGAAACAGGGGGGATTATAAAAGTACCTGAAAGAATTGCTTAATTTTCCACATGCATAGCTGGTAGTATTTACAGGTTTGTATGTACAGGGACACGCCATAAACAGCCTGCTCTAAAGTAATGGTTTATATACACCCAGGTCAGGAGAGGTCGATGTCATAACTACAGATGTGTGGGGGGGTTAAGGGTCACATGCATAGGATCAGAGGAAGCTCATACAGCTGAGTACAACTTGGATGACAAAGACACAGAACTAAATACTGCAAAAAGTAACAATACTGTGAATTCAACAACATTAAATCTCCCCCTTATAGCTTTGTGTTTGTGAATACGCTCAGTAGGACTACCGGTTATTGCTCAACACTGTACAAAGACATTTCTATTGCATGTCCAAGAGGTTCTTGGAGATACTGAGTTTGGAAGACTCTGATTTGGTCCCAGTGCAGTTTTAATCCAAAACTAAGGTGTGTGCTGCTCACCAAAAAACCTAATTATTGCAGTTTTTTTAAAAAAAAATGTGTATCTTAAATGTTTGGGTTTATGATTTTTACTCAAAAGCAGATTTATCCAAAAGTGTTCTTTAAAGATYGTGATATTCCACTTATTTGAATTGTTGTATTGCTGATTTAAATAATATTTTAGGAACAGTATTAGCCTTTTTTTGCCCAATCCCTTACTTGTTGATTAATTTGGTARTAACAAAGCTGTCTTTTGATTTTATCGTATGTGTAAAAAAAAAAGCATCTTTTTACAACTAAAATCTAAAAACATGTCTTAATTTTCAAAATGAGTTAATGGTGGAGGTATATTTAAAGTAGAGCAGCTTTTAATTAGAGGGAGAGACATCTCCATTAATCCAGAATCCTTTTGTTTTTCTTGTAGTTGCGTCTGAAACCGTCTGGTTTTCAAGTCTCTCATTTGCATCCAATTAAAATTTCAAGTCATAAGTTTTGCCTCTCGAGTCAGAGTCGAGTTCAAGTTCACAGCTCTGGTTGGAAAAGAGCAAAAAACAGAGTTTTTCTTAAAACGCTACAAAAAGCATGTTAATGATTCACATTTAGTTGCAGAAAATATAAAGACACACACTGCATTAAGTTCTGTTAATCCTAATATACAGACGTCTTCTACACTTTGATATGATTTAAAAATGGCCGCTCTTTGTCTTTTGCATTTTTCCAAGTGTTTATGTTGATTTTATGTCTTGTGTTTATAAATATTCTTGTGTGCAACTGCAGGTCTCTGAGTTTTCTGGGCATTTTTTTCTTATTCTGTGTTGCACTACCTCATACATAGCTTGCAAACACACACACACACACACACACTCACACACACAATGATAAATAGCTGTGGTGGGTGGCTGAGCATGTTAATGCCTAATCTCATCAGCCTTATCTTTCACAGAGGTCATAAGATCAAGTGGTGAGGGGGATGAGCTAAACACCAATAAGATAGTCCGAACAGTCCATGTAATACTTTATCTGCCACTAACTGGACCGATGAAGTCTGGATTTAAGTTTCAAAGAATAAATGAGCTTTAAAAAATACACATACTGTAAATCTAAACCTGATTTCACCCCCCACCCTCGCATCAGTATTTTAACATAAAGCAGAGCCAGTGTGTGGTAATTGCACACTAACTGCTCTAAAAGTCAGCCAAGTTCAAGGGGTGTCAGCGAGTCAGAGCCTCCAGCACCGAAATCTTCTGTGGAGTTTTAAAGGTGTTTCGCTTTCAGACGAGCTAAATCAGATGCCCTAAGTGAGGGAGATGAGTCAAACGCAGCGCGTGTGAACCTGGAACTCAGAGACACTGCGTGGCATTTGTCTGCCTTTGATATGGCGACATGTGACGTGGATGAAGTTATCACCTCGCTGGCAGGTGAGACGGACGGCGGCGCACAGAGAGACGCTGCCGTTTCATCTGCTGTTTACCAGCTCTCTCATCATCCTGCGCTTCAAACGCGCAACTCAATCTGCTGCCGCCACGTTCCACAGGCGGAGCTCGTCCTGACGGAGGAGCGCTGCTTCGCTGCTCGCGGGCTGCGAGTTGMTTTGCAAGGACTGAGAAAAATACATCCTTAAATCTGCTTTGCGTTTTATTATTTAAAAAATCTTTATTTTCGGGGGTTGCATATGGATTTTGTGCATATTTGTGTACCGGGCTGTGAATGTATAAATGCTTTTCGACCTCATTGCAGCTTCGTGGGCCTCACAGCTGCTTTAGGAAGCTGTTCAAACAGTTGGCATGTAACGCGCCTCCATTATGCATGTGCGTATATTTGTGTGTCCTGCCCATGTTTGACTACTGCACATATGGACTCGTCTAAGTGCGTGCCAGGGCTCTGTGCTAAACTCTCATCACTCTCATCGGGAGATAAAGCACGCGAGCCATTTCATGTGGTCGCACAGAAGTCGTCTCCAGCGCCKGAGTTTTGCAGGGAAGCTGTCACAGCAGCTTTTAGCCCGAGCCGCAACATGAAAGATCCCCTCTTTTGAGCAGCCAGGGGGGTGGGTGGGGGTTTGGTTATGTGTGTAATTCTCTCTGACATGTTTATTCTGCTGCTGTTTCAACTTTCATTTTCAAATGTCACCGAAATCTCCCTCCAAGAATATCCCTGCTAATTACCCACTGATAGAGTGCATTCGAAAACTTAGCAGGTTGCATCCAGAAAAGTCTTTTACGCTGCGGCTCGGCTYGAGACAACATGGAGCTTAGTCCACGTCTGGGTGGAGACTTAATGGTCCTCGTGTTTAACCCCCGCAGAAGAAAAAAAATGACTTGGAATAAAGAAGTGAAAAAGCCTTGTGATGTGAGTGTTATACACGTGAAAACATTATCATTTGTTTCCTAAAACCAATGAACTTATAATAAACGATACTACTTGCATTATTTCCAACATTTATATTCAGCTTTACAAGCCTGACTGAACCCATGTACACATATTGAGAAAATATACATATTCATTGCCATCAAAACTCTCTTTTTTTGTTTGTTTGTTTGTTTGTTTGTTTTTGTGTAATATACATTAAAAGCTGTGTTTCCATTCAGACTGGAACTGACAGAGCTCCCTTGTTCTCGCTTTTACTGCTTTGGGTGTTTGCGTTCAGCGCATTGAAACAGTCCATTACAGCCACATGTCCTACACATGCCAGGTAGAGGAATAAATAAATAAATAAATGTACATTAATATATATATATTTATATATATACAGTATGCTACTCCCATAGTAGAGCTACGAGGGAGAAAGGTGAGACAGCGTGTGCATGAGTCTTTTTTTTTTTTTWCATTTTTTTTTTCCTGTGGCCTCTCGGTCTTGTTGTCTCTTTCCGTGTCTGTTTGTGTATCTCATAAATAAATGCTGTCCATTGTTTGTCCTCTCTGGACAGGGCACATCCTAATGTCCGTGTGCGAGTAGATGAGTTCTCCKTATTTTGTCTCCTCCTGCAGGATGAAGCCGTCTCACAGAGCCATGATTTGTCCCAACTGACCTTGTTCCTTTGGTCTAAGTCTTTTTCTTTTTTTCTCTCCCTCTCTGTTTCCTCTCCCGTCCACAGCAACAAGGTGCGGCCACCGTGGTGTACTGCGCAGTGGCTCCGGAGCTGGAGGGTTTGGGCGGCATGTACTTCAACAACTGCTTCCGCTGCCAGCCGTCCGAGCAGGCCGAGGATCCGAGCAGCGCCGCCAGCCTGTGGGAGCTGAGCGAGCGCCTGGTTGCAGAGCGGTCAGCGGGGGTACAGGCCCTTTAAGGGGGGGGGGTGTTCAGGGGGCGGCAAGTCAAACAGGAATCAAAGAGGAAGCAGTTGACTTAGGTATGAACTTACTAAAGGACTGACTGCACTACACGAAAGCTGCCAAACCACAAAACTCCATCTGGATGTGTCACGTCACTACTGAGCTAAAACACACTACATACATGGTAACTGGTGGGGTTTTCATTTACAATCAACTCAATGAGTCCAAGTTTTTAGTCGGCTCTGCTTTGTTCGTTTAAAAGGATGTATTTTCTGGAGGCTTTTTGCAACTCTTCAACTTGGAAAAAAGAAAACACCTTATGTGTTAGCATTCACACTTTGTGCATGAGATTATTGCACTGGTCAGAAAAATTTAGTCTTCCCATTTCAGTTCTGTTGCTTCTGCAGTCATTTTACTGGTTGTTACCAAATCCTTTTTTGGGGCAAAAAGAAATAAAAACGAGTGGGCATCGGACACTCATGGGTATACAAACAGACTAGAGGTATGGTTGTTATGGCTATATACATTATTTGCAATAATTTTATTTCTTATCAACGTCCCTATTTGTTGTCTGTACAGTATTTACAACCTCCTGATTTGTAGGGGTGGGCTTAATTGTTTTTTTTTTCTTTTATCAAACTGAACTATCTTTCATTTGTACTCTGTAAAGACATAATTAAAACGTGGAGATATGTGGAATGATTTTTTTGGCAATCTGAATYGAGACGGTGGCGAGTTTTATTTACAACTACAAGGTGTTTCGTTTCGGTGTGTCTTCCTTTGCTGTTTTAAACAGAATTTCCGGCTCCTCGTTAGTTTTTAAATCACGATCTTTAGTGTTGAACTCTGAATTTGGGGTTTTTCTGTGGACTGGTTTTCTCAAAGCCGCTGGGAGGGGTGGGGAGCTTTTTGAGACATTGTGCTTTATGGCAGTCCAGGTGCCGTAGGTTGTTCAAGAAACAGCATTCCAGGGTTAAGACATCTGTAAGAAAAGRAGAGAGAAGAAAAAAAAACAAACGTTACGACTGAGAACAACCAATAAAACTCTGCTTTTGCTTTGAAGTGAAATCTTTCTGCCCTTCATTTGCATGCTGTATATAATCAGGAAGATGACAAACATCAGCAGTTTTTAATACAATACTGAACAAAATAGATTTTACTGTAAATATAATATGTAAACATAATTAACAGGACATCCATGTCTTATTTTGTCCTTATTCAGTCAGACAGAGAGAGAAACTAATCCTGGTAGGATCTGAACTGGACATGCATGTAATTTCCAGCATCTAAGTTCCCACTCAGGAAACGAGTGACAAAACATAGTTTTTTTTTAAATTAATGATTAATTATTCAAATTATCGCCTTGTTTGAACACAGTATATTGCGGTGACATTTAAAGGAAATGGCAGGAAATAAACAGAAATACAGACTGAATCACTTCCCTGCAGCTACATTAAACAGCAGGGTTTAGTTTCACAGCTGATGAAATGTTAAAGATATTATAGACGCTGCCCAGCGCTGTCCGTGGTGCTGATCTGCCGTTCTCTTTTAATAATCCTGATGGCTTTTATTTATCTAAAAAAGTTTGTGTTCCTGTTTTTTTAAATTTCTCTCGAACGGTTTTACACAAGACAAAAGAAGAGTGTCAAAGGGGAACAAACGGTTTGATGGCCCTGCGTCGGTCTGCAGTGCAGTGGCCGCAGAGCGAAGAGGGAGGTTCCTGCCTGGCTTTCATCCTATCGATCAGGCCCTATCGGAATCATCTGATAGCTAATCAATAAGCTACACTTCCTCTCTGGGAGCAGAGAGAGCAAAGAGTCACGGCTTTCATGAGAAGCACACCTTGATCCTTTGACCCCCGCATTTCCCCACCCCAGCCTCACGACATCATTTTCCATTTCCCTCCCTTCATCCCTCCCTTTTATCTCTCTCCTGTAAAAACACAACCTCCTCAGCTGTATAATAGCTGAAAGTCAGTGTAAACCAAATATCCAATATACATCGGAATGTTATTTTAATTAGTTGGATTTACAGTGGATTTTTTCCCCTCCACTGGATTTATTTCAGTTTGAGCCGTAATTGTTTACGACAGACCATTTCATTTTCCATTATTGTTTTTATTTCTTCTTGTGATTAATTCCACCTTTCAAAGAATAATTATGAGGGGATTGATTTGATTATGCCTTTGTTCTGCTTCTATTGGCTCCATTGACTGAAGGAATGCCATGTTGCCATTTCAAGCGGATATATTTAATGATCACAATCAATGTTAGAGCTCTCTCTGGACTCAACTAACCCAATAAATATCTGCCAGGAGGAACTTTACCATCTAACTACAGCAGGCAATAAAGTCTCTGTTCTCCTCCTGCGCTCTTTTCATCGCTCCTTTTTGAGGATGACATTAGTATTAAAACTGCTGATCAATTTTCGTAAAGCAGTGCTGCATGTGAGTCAATAGAAATCTAGCTTTTCTTTGATATTTAAGCTTGCAGACCRTTTTTAGATGCTGTCAGACATTTATAAAGAAAGAACTGATCAGTTCAGTTTATTCAGAAAATCTGGTGAGGTTAGCGGATTTTTGTAATTTACACGCATCACACTCCTGAATATTCTTTCTTTCTCTGTTTTAAATMATTAAAAATAGTTTTATAGATTATTCGAGGGATTTGGTAAAACACTTGATTTATTTGGGTAATCTTTTAAAGTGAGCTTGATCGATAGTTCTTTTGGCTTTCTGATTCCTCCTTTTTTTATAAACTTTCTCATTTATTCTGTCTCGTTCTTGTTCCTGACTACAACAACATACAGTAATATGAAGTGTGAAGTTTAAAAATAAAACTAGGGGAGCTTATCTGAAGCATATGAACAACTTCTGATGTTATGCTTTTGAGAAAGAAGGAAAATATATTCCAGCAAAGACCTGAGAGGTCGAGTTTCCAGCTTATGGTTCTTTGGAAATTATCTTGGATCGTCCGTCATGAAGACAATATATATATTAAATGTCTAATAAACTCTGTGATTTTTAATATTTTCACTRATTGGGAAATGGGAATAAATTGTGTCTTAGTGACAGACTGTTGGTAAAGTGCCTAAAGATTTGATTTTGGTTATTTATTCTTTTCAAAGTTGTCTGTTTTGTGTTGATAACACCGATTTATTAGTTAAATTTATTCAGCAAAACAAACATAAATATACTTATTCTGAAAAATGTCAGGTACTGGACTGAGGTTAAGTCAAAAGCAGCAGAATTAAAAAAAAACCCTTGAAAAAGCTTTTAAAATACCATMAATTTATTAATCAAAAGGTCTGGCTGCTTGGACGTAAAACAATAAAAAACAAACAAAGCACAGCTTAAGACTTTTGCACAACCCAATATCACATAACGTTCTCCCTTGACACACCAGAAACAATAAATACACATGGTTGTGACACAATGAGGCAAAATTCAGATCAGAGGAAGTGAAACATGTTTTATGTTGCTTTTTCGAAAAATCAGATGAAGATGTTTATTATTTTCAACCAGACAAATCCTTAGAAGCAACATTAAAATCCAGATGTCTGAAAAGCACTAATTTCCTATCAGCTATACGCCCCCATAGATCTGCTTTTACAATCTATAACTTATTTCTTTTATTGAAGTCTCAACACAGCAGCTTTGAGGAAAAGCGTCCAGCCCCAAATCCCCAGCGTGTCCTCACTACAAGACAGCGTGACCTTGTAAACCCTGAGTTATTTTACTCACCCCATTGTGTGAGGACAGAAAGAAAAGGTGGAGAAAGAGAAGAAGAGAAGGACTGGGGGGTGGGTGCGGGTGGGGGTGTGAGCCCCTGCCTGTCTCAGCTTTCAAACACAAAGAAAAATGAGCACTTGGGCTGAAGTACAATTATTAGCCCCTGTCTACAGATTCATCACAGCACAGAGAGGCAGGCCGAGGTGGAGGTGTGGAGGGAGGAGCTCAGCAGAAGGATGGAGGAACAGGGAGGTGTGTGTGTGTGTGTGGGGGGGGGGGGCACAGTGTAGGTAACAGCAAAGCCATGTAGAAGATGAAAAAGACAATTAAAGGAAGGGGAAACAAATTGAGCAAATAAAAAACAGGAAAAAACTAAAGGCAGCAGAGGTGAAGCGCGTAAAGCTGCTGCACAGCCAAAAGACAGAAGGGGGGGGGGGGGATTTTTAGGAAAATAAAGGAGTGAAGAGAAAATAGCGGGAGGCAGAGGTAGAGGCTGGAGAAAGTCAAATGAAATAAGAGGATTTGTCAGACCAGTGGTTGGTGGCAGTAATAAAGACCGCTAATCTGAGGGAGAACGCTTGACTGCTCACACACAGGCTCTCCTGACGCCCCACTTTACCACCGGGCCAAGCCAAGGTCACACACACACACACACACACACACACACATACACACACACACGCTTGTTGTAACACTGTCCCATCTCTCCTTGTTTTGTAAAACTGTGTGTTTCCAACCAAAGCCTTCGTCCTGTCACTGCTGCTCACTCACTGTTCTTTTTCTCACAGTCTCTCTCTCTCTCTCTCTCTCTCTCTCTCTCTCTCTCTCTCTCTCTCTCTCTCTCTCNCTCTCTCTCTCTCTCTCTCTCTCTCTCTCTCTCTCTCTCTCTCTGTCACTCATCATCTTCACAAAATTCCCCTCGCAGCCATGTTGATTTTGAAATCTCATTTTTCTCCGTTTCTTAACTGGCTCCGCCGTGTGGATCAATAGCCATCAAAACTATTACATAAATACATCTGTCATGAGCAGATAGCGGCGTGGGGATGTAATGTGTCTTGTTGAGGCTGCCGTCGACTGAAAGAAGATCTGCTGCGTGTGTCCTCAGAGGACAGCAAAGTGTGATTCTGTGTGACCAGGTGTGTCAGGCACAGAAAACATTTATCGAGCCTCGGTAACCTGGCGTGCCTTGTATTTAGCACAGAACTCCTGCTGTCTCTGGGTCTTTGTCGCCTCCTCGGTTTCCGTGTTTTATGTGCGTTTTTGTGGGAAATTAGTTATTTTTTAAGTCAGCAAACATAAGCTGAAAGTTAAAAATACTCCAGAAGCACAAAAGACCCCTTGTCGTTATAGCTTTTCACATGAAAGCACTGATATTTCCTTTTTTAAATTAATTAATTTATTTTTTTGCTCTTTTTTTACTTTAGAGTTCTGGGGTTCAAACTGTGAACGGTGTCTCTTTCTCCACACATGCAGCTAAATTAACTTCATGATGTGATGAAGGTGTTACAGTATGAGAAAATCTAATTTTACAAAATGCAAAATAGTATATTAAGATAAAACATCAGAATGYATTTCTAAAATGTAACTTCTCTTATACCAAAAAGCTCTTTCAGTTTTTCAGAATCTCCCATTATTCCTCATAAATACTTTGTATTATAGAGTCTATAGGAGAAAATGTTTAAACAACCATTCTAAAACTAACTTTTGACAAAATAATAAGAAATAAAATCAATTGAAGAGCGTTTTTATCCACAGACGAGGTAAACCACCAAACCACTAAAACCCTCCCTGCTTTGTTGTTTATATCAATGGGTCCAGAATCCGAAGTGGAATTCAGAGTGTAACTGCAATGCTTTGGTCTGAATTCTTCCTTAATGTAACTCCACCAGCCCCTCTTTCTCCCCTTTTATGAGGTGTCTGAGGGCAGCTCGTTTTGGTGCTGTCTCTTTAAATCCAAACTTGGCACTTCACATCCCGCTCCTCTCACCCCATTCGGAGATTTGGTGGCGCTGAAACTTTTATTTTACAAATTGATGAGAAGATGCCAACAACTTGTTCATCCAGCCTTACATGTTGGACTCAGAGCCAGAGGAGAATGAGGACGATAAAATTGCAGAACCACATATTCGCAAAACTGACCTCGTTTAGCAGCTCCACAGTAAGTACTGTGACGTTATTGTTCAAAACGCCTAACAGGGAATAGAGAAAATTTCTTGAAAAATATGACCCAAACAGAATAAAAAGTTAYCTTTGCAGCAACGAGTGACTGAATTCAACTTTTCACAGCCAGAARTGGCTTAAAACATGGCTGACACCTAAAGTACAATCAGGT